AGCTTTTGAGGTGGAGGTGTGTTTTGGTATTAAAATGACACTATAATGAGCAAAGTTCAGCTTCAGAACAAGATTTCACCATCACTGCTGAGGCAGCAGTTGCGACCTATCTTTCTTGAAGGCAACTATGTGGTTATCTTCACTAGGCACTCTTTATCCCTGATAACAGGGACGAGCCGTGGTACCTCTGTACCACTCCACTCCCCATTTCAAGGGTATTGCGCAGGCCGTATTCGTTCCAAGTGCATTCTGTTCCGGGGAGCAGCAACTGTGTCTCATCTCAGAGCTGCTCTGATATTACAGCTTACTTTAAGATGTAAGCTGAACTTTGGGGGACAATATTCTCCCATTCCCCCCTCAGTTATTTTCCCACATGCACCAAGAAAACTGGGCCTCTGCCCTTTTCTTATTTACTTAAAGCATTCTTAACTTCTTCATTCACGCAACAGCCCAGCTTCGAACTCTTAAACATCCAGTGATTCCTCCCAAACCAAAGGTGCCAGGAGGGAAAACCATGGCCGGTTCTCACTAACCCTTTGCCTTCTAGGGAATACACCAAGAAAACTGGGGCTCTTCCTTTTCTTTATTTACTTAAAGCATCCTTCACTTTCTCATTCACGCAAGAGCCTCTGCTCCCTCTCCCTATTTCTGCCTCCTACTGCAGTTCCTTAGCTCCTTCCCATCATCTGTCCTTGAAATTACCATTGCTGCCATGGGAGCTAGAAGCTGACAAAACAGAAGACAAAAGACAACACTTCTCTTTCCAGAGATGCATTTGTAGAGAAGGAAAGTAAGAGTCATCAGCTTTTCCCATCTTCCCCTGCAGGCAGAGCCTAAATCCGAAGGAGGAGATTGAATACCTGATGTTGGCTAAGGCAGAAGTTAGATTTTGCTAAATACAGCAAATTATTTTCTGCCTTGGCTAATCAGTCCACTGCGGCCTTTTCATACAAACACACCCAAGCTCACCAATTGTTCCTCCTTTTTCAGTCTTGTCCAGTGGGTTCCTTCGATCACTTAATTTAGCTGTAACTGTGCCAGGTCAGTAAAATCCTTGGCATCACCAGGCTCTTAACCCTATCCATGGGAAGAAAGCTGTCCTTTTGTGCCAGTTTAATTCTTTCTTGAGGAGAAGGAAAACGGTATGAGATTGTATTGCTGTTTCCAAATTTACTGAATTTAAATCAGCACCAAGTACAGACAGTGTTAGTCACAGCTGAACACAATTTGGTGCTGACCCAGAAATAAGTGGACTGAATTTGCTCTTTCCTAAGGGTGACTAATTTTGCCACCATTTCATACAGTGATACCCTGTGAGAAAAATAGCTGCTGCGCAGGTAAATGCTGGAATTTAAACCTAGTGGCCACGTTACCAAGGTCCATAAAACTCTCATTGACTGAACAGATTGCCTTCATCTCCCCTCTCCGTGTTACTCTCAGTTTATGTTTTATTTTCTACTCCTTCTTTCGTCTTTCCCAGAAACTACTGACATGCGACAGGACAAAGTTAAGGCTGCTTAAAGAATGTGGCATTTGCTATGACTTCAAGATCTTTGAGAACTGGAAAACACGACATACACAAACCTGAGGTACTGCGGTGTCACGATAATGCAGAGTTTTGCCTAGCTATTTTTAACTAGTTGTCCTTATTTTTCCAGATGTCAGTTTCAAAATGTAGGAAATCTTTGGAATGAGCAGAGGAAGGAATGAGACTGACCCCAATGGGAATAATTTTATTCTTCCCCTATTTCCGAAATGTTAATCTCAAGTAGCAAGGAGCCGGTGCTGCGATTCTGCAGTTGTTTAAGATGATCAGAGGCGACACAGCTGAAACCCTCGCTCCTTATGTGTTGGCTCTGGCCGCAGCCTGCTGCAAGGCAAGCTGGATCAGGGAGAGACTGCCAGGAAACCCATCCCTTTTGTTCCGTTCTCTGAATGGATTTACAGAGGGATCACAGAGGTGAGGGAAGGAGCCTGGTGACTCCAACCTAAAATGGCTCAAGAAGTCACAGAACCTCACCCACTGAGCTGCTGGTTGCTGAAAGGTGTCTGTGCCCATTCAGAAGCAGCATGGAGAAAGAGAAGGGAATGGTGTGACAGGTTTGAGAAATTAGAGTAAGACAGCAAGGCACACCCTGCTCTCCATGCCTGGATTTCCTCAGAACACTTCCTTTGGGAAGAACATTGTCTATTGAACTCGTGGTGAATTTCAGGATAGTAATTTTATACTTAAAACAAGTCATAAAGTAATTTATTACGGTTCAAAAGGATAAGAGGAAAACAACACAAGTATGGGTAAATCAAAAAGGACACTTGAAAACTTGTCTATGGGGCTGACATAAGTGAGCAGGTCTGGGGTTTTTCTTAGCCCTTCCCCAACCCTAAGAAGAACAAGTCGAGAAAGAACCATGCATAAAACAGCAAACCTTTCTAAAAACAAGGACTGTAAAAAAAAAAAAAATCATTAAAAATACCAGTCCCAAGTCTCATTAACAACAGAAGGTCCATCAGCTTCATAGCCTCTGTGACCAGTGAACTGTGTGGCAGCTCTCTCAGCTGGCACCTCTGGTGGCTCTGGCAGAATCAGAAGGTCATAGGGCCACAGAGGCCCAAATTGTCTTTGGCTCCAGAAGTCGCTCTGGGAGGTCGTTGTCTTAGGAACGGTCTGTGCTTCTGTATGCTGGATGTCATCTGCGGATTGATGGATTCCAATCTGTAAAGGAACTAACCAAGCACTTGAGCTGCATTGATTTGTTTGAAATGGAAAGAAGAAGTGATTATTTCCTAAAGCGAAGCTGAGATTTAAAGGTGTACTTCTGTTATTTACTACGCTACTTTTTCTAAATTCTTCATTACAAGGGGGGAAAGGAATAAGTGTAGTGTCTTGTCTTTGTTTTCAGTGGGGCCCAAAGGACGCGTTAGAAGTTATGAAATCAGAGATGATCATCATAATTTAGCTAAGAAGAATTACAGGCACTGGCGTGCTGCACGGGAAACAGGCCACATGGAAGAGCAAATAGGACACATGGAAGAGTGGCCAGATAACGTGGATTTCATTCTTAAAGACATTTCAACAGCTGCTGCAGATCTGAAATCTCTAACACTTGATGCACTAAGTCCAAACAATCCCCCCATTTGACACATAAATGCATAAATAAATGCATAAATTCAAACCTCTAGTGCTCACAGAACAGGATTTCCATACCTAGTTTAACATGAGAAAAACCAGTCAGGTCTTCATCAATGAAAGAAACATTGTGATTTTTTTTGTCGGATTACAAGTATTTTCAAGGTTTCAGTTACAGGTTCTCAAATGAAAAAGTGACATGGCTGTAGTATGGCAATATTACAATTGATCACTGCTGTCCTGTAAGCAAAGACAAACTCACTTTCCTGAATTTTGGAGAAACAGATATTTTTGTATCTAAGACACGTATTTCAAACATTAAATTTAAGAAAAATCCATGACCTCATTCAAAATACAAATGTGTAAACACTTTGCTACCAGCTCTCTAGAACACACAAGGAAACTAAAGCCTAAGTTGGAGTAAGGAATGTTCTTGCTTGCTCTCCTGTCCTGATTTCTACATCCAGATGTTGGATAGGAAGGCATGCTGGGGAAAACGGCTGGAATCTTCCATGTTAAGCAGACAAACTACTTACATTAACACTTTAAACAAATGGCAACTCTGTTAAATGGTTTGAGCAAAGAAATAAAATACACAACATAAAAATACCATTTTTTAAAACTTCAGCAATCTACAGGAGGGATCAGATATGGCATATCCCACTGTTTTACAATTTGGATAGTTTTCCAGCAGAAGATGGATAACTTGCTGAAGACAGAAGTTTTCTCCATCTTGAAACACAGAGCAAGTCAGACGTTGAAACTGTCACGTGATCTTTGCATGACAAAGATGCGCTTGAACGTTTGGAGTTTTTTACATTTGGAAACCAGATATCCAAAGGTGCTAATAAATGTAGACTTCCAAAAGTTTTTATTAACTTCAGCACTATAAATTTAATTAGTAGGACTGAAGACCGCTTCGATTGCTACTGCATCTGAAGTTTGAAATCCCACTAACTATTCAAAGGGAGAAGTTTTAACAGAATCATCAGGTACAGCGTTGCGATGCAACACAAATTGTTCTACAAAGTGCAGTATCTGTTTCTGTCTCACTGGCTGTATTTCATACCTTCAAACCAGTCCACGGATTTGTCTTGGTTCAAGGTGCCACCTTGTCTCCTTTTGCTGAGCAGGCTCTGACAGTCTACCAGAAATCGGGATAAAAAAATTTATTAAGAAAATAATGGATCAAAGTCAGTCCTTTGAAATGCAAGTGAAGCAGCTTCTGACTTCACTGGCTACCAACTGGTGGCTATCAGTTTCTTTAAAAACATTGTTCTTAAAGCACAACTGTAAGAGAAACTGTAATGAACTGAACTTGTTCTCTTGACAAAGCTGTACTTCTTTCAGGAAAAAGACCAGTTCTTGACACGTATAGCTTGGGCTCACTGCCAGCACCACACTAAAAGTGTTATTTCTGAACTTTATTATGTACACAGCATTCTCAAATGGTCAAAATAAACACTTTTTTTTTTCCAGCCTCTGTCAGATATGAATAGCAAGATCTCCCAAGCAAAAACAGATTTTAAATTAAGTCTTTCAGGGTCTCACGTAAGTCTTAATATACACGCGTCGTGATGTTTAAAACACCAAATTTATTAAATGACATCTTGTAGCCACCTGACTTGTCCTGTATCTCAAGGACAATTCAAATGCCAAATTTTTTCAAAGTTGAGAGATCCCTTGAGAATCACAGTTGTCCTGAAGCTGTCAGAACCACAATAATAGTAAAAATTTGGTTAATAGTGAGAACGTGCCAATAAAAAATGGAGCGAAAAATAACTGTAACCCTGTACTGACTGTGTATACTAAGAACTCCGTGGTGGCTAAGGACCTCTCCTAGGAAGCACCTCTCCCATGAAGACAGGCTGAGAGAGTTGGAGCTGTTCAGCCTGGAGAAGAGAAGGCTCTGGGGAGACCTTAGAGCAGCCTTCCAGTACCTAAAGGGGCCTACAAGAAAGCTGGAGAGGGACTTTTTGCAAGGGTGTGTAAGTGATAGGACAAGGGGCAATGGCTTTAGACTGAAAGAGGGGAGATTTAGATTAGATGTAAGGAAGAACGTCTTCACATTGAGGGTGGTGAGGTACTGGAACAGGTTGCCCAGAGAAGTTGCAGGTGCTCCATCACTACAAGTGTTCCAGACCAGGTTGGATGAGGGTTTGGGCAACCTGATCTGGCAGAAAGTGTCCCTCCCATGGCAGGGAGGTTGGAACTAGATAATCTTTAAGGTCCCTTCCAACCCAAACCATTCTATGATCTTTGCAGAGCTGAGACCTTGTACAGCTCCCCCACAAATTTTACATCTCAAGCGTGTTCCACTCTTACTAATAACCAAGGAGCGTTTGCCCCATAACTGCTGTGTGTAGTGGAGGCGTCTCATACAAAGATCGCACAGATCTTCCTCTCTTACCACAAAGCAAACAGTGGGGAGGAGTGCCGCTAGGTCCCCGTGGCAGACGGACTTCACGATTATATCGTCTCTCAGCGCCACTGTGGTGCTCGGGGCGTTCCCGCTGCCATATATAATGTGCTGGAGCGATGGCCATCACCTGTTGGAACAGTAGTTACATCAGAAACCATAAAGATAACAGGAAAACATACACCTGAAAAGAAGGGATCCAGTTCCTGTAACACTGTGTAGATGAAACTGGTGCCGTCTATGATCTGCCTGCTTCTGTCTCACTAGAGAGTTTGCTGCCTTAGGCACAAGCACGTGAACCAGTTATGAATCAGATGGGGAAACACAACGGTGAGCAGCCTTGTATTCTCATGGGAATCACCACAAATACCAGTTTGTGATTTGATGGTGCCTTTTACTAACTACGAAACATAAACTAGACGGATCTGCCCTTTACGAAGCCACTGAACTCCTTGAACGTTGGAAGCCGGGAGGGGACGCTGGGAAAAGCATTCCACACTTCCCTTCTTCCTTGTACTTTTCCCATAGCATCTAATCCTAGCGGCAGAAAGGGGATTCTAAAGTAAATGAGATTTTCTTTTCCACCTGCTGTAGTAAACATTACGTTCTTAGAACATGACAGGGCTTTTCCAGACAGATACATGCCACGCGAAAAGTGAGGGATGTCTTTTTTTCCTCCTAATACGTTTGAAAAACGTAGGTTTTAACACTGCTTAATAGTGGAGAATATTAAGTGTGTCCTTCTGAGGTTTTCTTCAATGCAGTTGTATTGGGCGTGCGTGGCAAGGTTTTGGTAGCGGAGGGTGCTACAGGGGTGGTTTCTGTGAGAAGCTTCTAGAAGCTTCCCCTATGTCCGACAGAGCCAGTGCCAGCCAGCCCCCCCCCCCCGCGGCCCCCCTGCCGCTGGTGGTAGCGCCTCTGTGATAACATCTTTAAGAAGGGGGGAGGAACTGCACAACGGCAGTTGCAGCTGGGGAGAGGAGTAAGAATATGAGAGAGAAACAACTCTGCAGACACCGAGGTCAGTGAAGAGAAGGGGGAGGAGGTGCCCCAGGCGCTAGAGCAGAGATTTCCCGGCAGCCCATAGTGAAGACCATGGTGAGGCAGGCTGTGCCCTGCAGCCCGTGGAGATTAACGGTGGAGCAAAGATCCACTGGCAGCCCCTGGAGAGTCCCCTGCCAGAGCAGGTGGATGCCCAAAGGAGGCTCTGACCCTGTGGGAAGCCTGTGGTGGAGCAGGCTCCTGACAAGATCTGTGGATCTGGTGGAGAGAGAAGCCCACACTGGAGGAGGTTCACTGCCAGGACTTGTGACCCCACTGGGGACCCACACTGGAGCATTCTGTTCCTGAAGGACTGCACCTTGTGGATAGACACACTCTGCAGCAGTTCGGGAAGAACTGCAGCCTGTGGGAAGGACTCATGTTGGAGAAGTTCATGGAGAACTGTCTGATATGGGAAGGACCCCACAATGGAGCAGGGGAAGAGCGTGAGCATTCCTCTCCCTGAGAAGGAAGGGGCAGCAGAAACAACGTGTGACCAACTGACCACAACCTCCATACCCCGTTCCCCTGTGCTTCTGAGGGGAGGAAGGAGAGAAAATGGGGAGTAAAGTTGAGCCCAGGAAGAAGGGAGGGTGGGGGGAAAGCGTTTTTAAGATTTGGTTTTATTTCTCATTATCCTACTCTGATTTGATTGGTAATAAATTAAACTAATTTCCCCAAGTCGAGTCTGTTTTGCCCTCGACAGTAAGAGGTGAGTAATCTCTCCCTGTCCTTATCTCAACCCATGAGGCTTTTGTTATATTTTCTCCCCCATGTCCAGCTGAAGAGGAGAGTGATAAGAGCAGCTTTGGTGGGCACCTGGCATCCAGCCAGGGGCAACCCACCACAGCAGTGAAAAGCCTTTACTTGAAAAAGTCAATTGAAATGGTATCATTAATTTTGAAGGGATTAAAATTTCACCTGAGGTGCTGGGATTTTTATTTGAAGGTTTTACTTGTATACAAACTTATAATTTGTAAAGCAAACACAAACAAAAATATTTCTAAAGTGAATGAATCGAAACAACCGATGGTAAGTTTTAAGTAAAAATAGTTGTATAAAGCAGAAAGATTCTAGTCTGTAAGAACTTCCCTTTTAACAGCAGTGAAACATAAAATATTCTAGTTTACCTTAAAAGCACAGTTTCAAAGAAAGTATTTTAAATGCAGAAGAGAAAAAAAAAATGGAGGATAAATGGACCCTTACATTGTAGCTGCACCTTTTCTTTCCCGTGACTTGTCCTACGCACTTTAGGGAAGAAACTATTTGTATAGAGCTAGATCGTTAGCGGGTGTTAATTATAGTTTCAGCATCTCCTTACCTCTTCACAGCACTGTCTGCTTACAATAGCTCTGAAATCCATTCTTCTCCATAGTTCATCTCTCAGCTCCAAAAAGCAAGGGAAGAGCTGTCCCCAGGCTTCTCCCAAAGCCCACGGGAAAATCTCATACTTGTGTTCTTCCTCTTCTTCCTCAACTGTGTTTGCCAGATACCTTCAAACATATATAATTTTCTGTCTGTAAATGTTATTCCATCTTAAGCCACTTAGCAGTATTAGTATGGTTTCTAACATTAAAATATATAATATTGAAGCAGGATTTTTTCCTACTCTTGTAAGAAAAAACGCTAACAAAATACAGCCTTCTCTCAGGAGTGCAGTATTTTCTTAATCAGAAAGTTCCATATGTGTGGAGAAACCTTTTGGCTGCTGCAGCATCCTGTGAAAGTTCTTTTCCCATGCAGGCTAGCTGAGAAACTCCTGCAGCTTGTTACACTGGGAAAGTTGTTTTGAAACAGGTGTCGTAACATTCAGCCAATCACTCTGGGAGGTGGATGGTCAAGTGACCAATAGACTGGACCCATTTGGCGAACCGCGGT